CCCTCCCCCGCCCTCCCCTCCGCAGCGCCGGGCAAGGCCAGGATCCTGTTCACCTGCACGTCGAAGTGCACGGGCCCCGCGCCCCCGCTGGCCTTGGGCGGCCGACCGGCGGCGACCTGCCTCCCCCTCTCCCCCCTCCCCTTCCGCAGTACCGTGCGAGGTCAGGATCCTGGTGAACTTTCCGTTGAAGTGCAGCGCCGAGACGTCGACGCCAACTCTCGACTGTGGTGGTGAATGCATTGCCCCCCCCCCCCTACCCCATTTTTCCCTTCTCATTTCCTATCAATGTCCTGGGATAAAGCAGAAGTCGACTGGCACTGAGAGTTGTGCTGGAGCACAGAAACTTATTTTCTCACCTGTTTTGGCATGTGACTGGTCTTGAGTAACTGAGTCTGGTATTATAAATGGTCGATCATATGTGATACTGGTCGAGCATTCCCCATCAGTGTTCCGTTCTCTAGGAGGTGAAATGGCATCTGGCTGTACAGCTCTACCACTCTGTTTTGCATTGCTGGACTCTTGGAAAGACCCTGCTAATTGAAATGCAGACAGTAATGAGTGTAAGCAGGTCACAACCTTAGAGAAAAAACAATCTTGAAACAATTATTTCTTAAGTCTATTCAAACAAAATATTTAAAAATATATAAATTTTTAAAAATATTTCTAATTATATGTTAAGTATACCTTAAATGAAATACAGACTGAATAGTGTAATGATATTATTACCTGAATGTGACTGACCAACATCCAAATTTGCAATGGGTAGCATGAAATGTTGACGGTCTTGACTGACCAAATCTACAAAACATACAGCGAAGAAAAACCATATGATAACAAACCAAAACATACCAGATACAAGAAAGAGGGGGAGTATTTGAAAAGTCCTACCTGTATTAAAAAGTTCTGATGACCCATCGCAACCACTTAACCCTAAATCTCTAATGTCCACATTTAATGATTGCTCAGATGTGTCACCACAGTCCAGATCAGGAATCCAATGGCCCAAGTCAGGCTGAGAGGCTGCTGTCATCATCCCATCGCCATTTTCACTATTTTCACTGATTATAGACAGAAACAAACACTGAGATGTAGTTGCAATGCGGGAGTTTGGCATCAAAACACATACGGTTAGGAGGCAAACACAAAACTAACCTGTCTGAAGATGCCGAAGATTCGCGATCCGGATCCCACCTCCCCCTTTTCTCAGGAGGATCCATATTTGTTGTTGTAATCAAAATCTCAAAATACACAAATTTTTGAAAACGCCACACGGGGTCCGAAACCGACCTACCCCAACATGCCAAGACAACCTCACACCGCGAGCCGGGCGAGCCGGGCCGAGCGGCAGTGTTGCCAACAACAATACAGAAACCCGTTTAAAAAAAATAATCGGCAGCAACAACTGAGCAGGGCGGCCAAGTGGGCCGAGTATCGTTTTCCTGCGACTTATACTTTTTAAACCGTTTCAAGACTCAACTCTATCGCGAAAGGCAGTAATTAATACTATACACGACCGATTTTATTATTCGTAGTTGCCTACGCAGCTGTCTCTCTCTCTCCAGCACCGAAGAACTATTGATGATTTGACTGATGCAGTGGTAGTGGTGTGCGAGAGAGAAGGAAGCGCAGGTGGTGAGCCGAAGTGGTCAAGTTGCGCAAAAGAAGACGGCAGGCAATGGCTAGGGAAAATTATTGTTTGGTGTTCTGGCTGTCAGACCCCCGGTCAGCTGACGTCGTGCCAAAGACCGACGTGATAGGAGACAAGACCATGGTGTGCATCATACCGGGACAGCAAAGGAGAGTCCTCTGGGGGGAGGAGGCGTTTGACGCGCGAGTTGTCGCCACAGGTGAGTACACGTTGTTTTGAAATGTTTGTAACAGAGGTAGGCGGTCAATGCCGCACGTTCGTTGTGTGCCACACGAGGCCAACGAGGCGCAGGGACCGGGACTCGAGTACTTCGACATGGCGTTCACCAGGACCAGGATCCTGGCTTAGCCCGGCGCTG